ATTCCAGATTTTCAAACAGTTGTATCTCGGCCAAATATTGTCCTATCCTAACAAACCATACATCAATGCAAAGCAATTGCAATTTCACAAAATTGACCCATATGACTGGTTTTGTGGTCCATCCAGGGTCACATAAAAAACAAACAAAACAAAAAAACTGTATTGTGTACTGCTTTAGGTTAACTGAGACTTGTCATAGCACTTACATATTATTTCTCTTTTGTTGATTATTATCATCCTCATTTATTAGTCGCTTTGAATAAAAACCATGATAAAAACGTCTGTGCTAAATGACTAAATGTAAATGTAATAATGTTCTTGTTTTTAATTTAATATTATTTATAATAAATAATTATTTATTGTTCTATTGTTTTATTATTAATATTATTATTCAATTATTGTTCATATTAATTCTAATTAATTGTATATTTATGGGGGTTTTTTAACCCATGAAATTAAAACTAAAATATAAATTAAAAATTGAATTAAAAAAAAAATGAAATTAAAAATTAGACAAGCATCAGACAGAGGAGCATGACTTGAGCGACAGATTATCGTGAGCGGTGACCCGGATGTAGCGGCGCTCTACCTCCACTCATCTGATCCTCGTTTATCAGCGAAAGGCGGTCGAGATGGATGTTGTCAAACAGGTAGGGCTTTCAATCACAGCTATTCACCGAATCAATTCTGCAATGTACTGCAAACTCATCACACATGGCAGAGTTTGATAAAGAATATCTCTTTGGGTTTGAGACTTTAGTCTTTGCAACTTCAGGGATCTTATCTATGCACAATCAGCTTGTAACACTACAAAGAGAAAGGAAAACTTGAAATCGCATCATATGACCCCTTTAACATACGTGCTTGTCAGTACATTAAGCTAAACATATTTCAAAGATAATATAAATAATTATGACATTACATATAAGGATAGTCCTACTTAAGTGGTTCAGAAAGCCACTCTATTGTAGTTAATGTAGTTTAAATACAACTTTACTTGCAGTTAACATGCATTTAAGTGCCTGAAAACATCAGTTCACACTGAAGTATATATACAGTAAGTACTCTTTTTAAAAGTGTGCTAAAGTGTACTCATTTTTCACATACCAGGTTTGGTGTTTTGTAAAGCTGTAATTTTTGTTGCTGATATTATTTACGTGTTTATTTTTTAGCTGGTCTCCACTGGGCAGTTCACAGTCATCAAACAGCCATTAGGGTTCATTAAAATCTTACAATGGGTGAGTAACTAAAGACCTTGCAAGGTGTTGTTTTTAATCTTGCTATTTTTTTTTAAAACATAATGCCTTTTTCTTTCCTTTATATTATTTCCTTCTACAAAACTGCAGAATATCTTAGGTTTGCAACTTTGAAAAACTGTAATTTTACTGAAAGCACTGGTATTATTTTCTTACAAGAATTGCAAATCTAGTTAATCTCAATAATAGCTGGCGGTAAACAAAACACACATGCATGGTATTGTTCACAGCTGGAGTGGTAGGCTGTGAACGGTCACTGCTGCTTACGTAACCCACGCTTGGAGAGGAACCTGAAGCTAGTTTACAGTCAAGAGATCTACGAAATCAAAGCTGTCTTATGAATCATCTACAATTCTAACCTGTGAGCTTGCAAACAAGTGTGTGTGTGCATGTTTGAAGTTGTAAAATACATATTTTACATTAATAATTTAATACACTATTGATACATTAATAATTTAATTACAATAATTGAATTCAGTTACATTTTTAAAAAAATTTTTCCTGAAATTCTGCTGTATTAAAACATTAGGCTGATATACTGGGTCCTTCTGACACAGCACTTTGGTTCGCTGTGATATGCCATGTGTTTATGGCCAGTTCTGTCTAATTTTCTATTTAAAGCTTCCTACAACAATTAATTGCTCAGAATTAGACCGACATTTAGAGACCAGAGCTGGCATGAATCCTCAGTAAACATATGGTCTTGGTTCTTTCCAGCAAAACTTTGTCAAAATTGCAGAATGATGCCAAAGTCTGCGGTTGAAATGAGGCTTTATTGTATAAATATGGTTTGGATGCATTCACAAATTCAACCCACATTGATTGAGCTACTGTTATTTAAAAATTGAAAAAATAAACTGAATAGTTTAAACAGATTTAATATCTTAATATACAATAATAGACATTTTTATATGATGACAACATAACAGTGATCTAAATGTTTTTAACTTATTTCTGACTTCAGTATAAACTAGAGCCAATAAATGCAGCACAGTGCTTTAGGGCATTTTCATGCCTCTATAAATTGTTAGGATCACAATAGAAAAAAAAAACGGAATTTTAGTTACATCATTCATTATTCTTTCTCTCATTTATTCCTTACAGTTGAAAATCCTAAAGGAAGGATCCTTTAGGACTCCTCTCCTCATTTGGAACCAATCCTACATGATCATAATGTCAATTTTCTTATAGGATAGGCCTGGGTGATAAAACAGTATCGATATTTATCGACGGTACACCTTCTTCGATAACGATATGTAAAAAGTTTGATATAGCGCACGATATAGGCACGTGCTATGAGTGACGCAGACCGCACACACAAACACGAACACATGCTGAAATGAGTGCTGTGCCTGCCTGTGATGAGGAGATTGTGAATAAAGAATGAATATTAGTCGAATTTAAAATAGTGTGTAAAGAATAGAATTCGAATAGAGAGTTCTAGAGTTAGAGGGTCAAGTAAAGATGGAAGAGATGTGTTTTTAGCCGATTCTTGAAGATGGTTAAGGACTCAGCTGCTCAGATTGAGTTGGGCAGGTCATTCCACCAGGAGGGAACAGTTAATGTAAAAGTCTGTGAAAGTGATTTTGTGCTTCTTTGGGATGAACAATAAAGCGCCGTTCACTTGCAGAACGCAAGCTTCTAGAGGGCACATAACTCTGAAGTAATGAATTTAGGTAAAGGGGTGCAGAGCCAGTGGTGGTTTTGTAGGCAAACATCAATGCCTTGAATTTTATGCGAGCAGCTATTAGCCAGTGCAAATTAATGAACAGAGTTGTGACGTGCATTATATCATTAAATATATCATTTAAATATTCAAAATTGGGTTAAGTAAGATTTTTAAAAGCAAGGATAAGATTTTTAAGATTTTTATTCAGCAAGGATACATTAAAATTGTTCAAGAGTGACAGTGAAGACTTTTATAATGTTACAAAATATTTCTATTTCAGATAAATGCTGCTCTTTTGAAAATTCTCTTCATCAAAAATTCTAAAATATCAATAATTTCCACTAAAGTATTAAGCAGCACAACTGTTTTCAACATTGATAATAATAAATGTGTCAAATCTGCATATTAGAATGATTTCTGAAGATTATGTGACTCTAAAGACTGGAGTAATGATGCTGAAAATTCAGCTTTGATCACAGAAATAAAACTTTTACTTTACTTTAGAACTTTAACTTTATACATTAACTTTTATATATTAACAAATTGAAAACAGTTAATTTAAATTGTTATAATATTTCACATTATTATTCTTTTTACTGTATTTTTGATCAAATAAACGAAGCCTTGGTGAGCATAAGAGACTTCTTTTAAAAACATTAAAAATCATTATTTACACCTAATTTTTGATGGATAGTGTGTAACATTTTGAATAGTTAACATTTCTTATCCAGCTTGCATTGTGCAAAGCTAATAGGCTTATCATCCAGTTCAGCAGTTGAAAATGGCTTCATATTTTTGTGAAAATCATGATACAATTTTCCAGGATTCTTTGATGAATATAAAGTTCAAAAGAACAGCATTTATTTGAAATATTATTCTTTTCTAACACTATAAATGTCTTTACTGCCACTTTTGATGATTTAATGCACCCTTGTTAAATAGAAGTTTTCATTTATTTTTTTGTTTGTTTTTTCAAATGGTACATTTTTTTAAATGGTATTGAATCACAGTTCCACAAAAAATGAAGCAGCACAACTGTTTTCAGTTTCTTTAGCAGCAAATCAGTATATTAGAAAGATTTCTGAAGGATCATGTGACACTGGAGTAATGATGCAGAAAATTCAGCATTTGCAGCCATATACATATACACTGTATATAGAGTAAATATGGAAATATTTTCCATACATATATAATTTTGCCATCTTTGCTTCATGGAACATTTTTGGAGTCTGAGCCCATAATGCAGTGTGACTGATACTGCATTATTGTAATTATAGAAAAGGAAAAAAAGCCCTTCCAAAAATTGGCCACTAGTAAAACGTAACTATAATATTACTTTTTTTGTGTGATTTATACTGTATGTTGCTTGTTAAAATACAGTGAAATGTATTTTAGTTCACGGGGGGGTTGGGGGGTTGCTGATATGCTTTGAGGTCAAATAAAGATGTATAAAATGTTCTACTAATACTTTTATATAAAAATGTTTTTAAATCATATGCTTACAATGCCAAGATAAGGCAATTAAATAAAATAAACAATTAAATAAAAGTGTAATTGACAGTAGTCAACCAGGGCTCCAGACTGCAACTAAATGGATATTTTTCTAAAACTTGTAATATTATTAGTATAATGTGCATATATATATATATATTTGGGGGTTGTGCTCAGATTGTCACATATGTACGTAGGGGGGGCCCTGAGGAAAAAAGGTTGGGAGCCGCTGATTATTGTACATGAGCATCTGTTTCATGCTAGTTGCCTTTCTGCACACTTATTCAGAATAACCGACTCTCTCTTCTTCTCCTCCTCAGTTCTTTGCCATCTTTGCGTTCTCCACCTGCGGCGGTTACTCTGGACTGTTTCGTATGAGCGTGGAGTGTCAGAACCGCTCAGAGAGTGACCTGAGCATTGAGGTTGAGTTTGGCTACCCGTTCAGGTCAGTGTCCCACTGCCATTCCCGTCCAGCTAGATCACGGCACAGCAGACATCATGTATCATTTTTATAAAACTTTTTGTTTTTGGGAAAACTTGTATCTGAGTTGTAAATCATGCTTTTTTTTTTTAAGTCATGGAACAGTTTAATATGTTACTATAGACATTGCCCTACCCCGCTCATATGGTATTAATTTTATTTGTGCAGATCTTAAAAACGATGAATGTTCCAGATGAATGTGAGTCGATTCAGGCCGTTTTGTAAACCCACTTGGCTGAAAAAAAGAAGAAGAAAAAAAGAATTAAAAGAATTAGAACTGAAAAAAAAAGAATTAATTTACAAATGATAGCCTTCATCAGAAACACAGGACATACACATACTGTAATAACTGCAGAAATATTGGCAGGGAAAACTGTCATGCTGTACATCTGAAGGCGCCACTGCTTCACAAGGGTTTAAAGTGTCTTAAAAAGTCTTTAATGTTAATGTTTTAAACTTACTCTAGTGAATTAACTTGAATCTGGTCAAGGGAATGTAACTGCTGACAGACATTTACCAAGTGATTTTCTCCACAGACTGCACCAGGTATGGTTTGATGCTCCTACGTGTAAAGGGCCGGAGCCTGAACGTCTGTTTCTGGTGGGAAACAACTCTTCCTCTGCTGAGTTCTTTGTCACCATCGGTGTCTTTTCCTTCCTTTATTCAATGGCAGCCATTTCTGTGTACATCTTCCTCCTGGAGAAATACCGCGAGGGAAACAGAGGAGCTCAGGCTGTGAGTCTTGCAGTCTTCTTGCTGTAAACTATTTAGTAACATTTTACAATGTCCTGTTAGTTAATGTTAACAATACATATGCTACAATTGCTATTGATATTTCTTAATGTTATTTATTGAAGTTAATTGTTAGTTCATGTTAGCTCAGGTCCATGACAGGAATAGTTGAAAATGAAAAGGTGCCCAATCGCAAGCCATTCAAGATGTACATGAGTTTATTTCTTCATCACAGATTTGTAGAAATGTATCATTACTTCACTTGCTCTGCAGTGAATGGGTGCCGTCAGAATGAGAGTCCAAACAGCTGATAAAAACATCACAATAATACACAAGTAATCCACACCACTCCAGTCCATCACTTAACATCTTGAGAAGCCAAAAGCTTTGTAAGTGTAAGAAACAAATCCATCATTTAATGGGTTTTCCTGTATTAATCCATAATATTGCTGAGTTCTATGAATCAGGAGAGAAATCTACACAGATCAAGCACCATTTACAAACGAAAAGAAAACAGCAAAAGCAGCTCTAAACAAATGTGTCTGTGGATTTTGATGTGAGAGGACAACAGGAGATGGACTTTTTCACTGGAGGAAGTGTTGTTATGGATTATGGACTTGTATTTTAGCCAGAAGTAAAAAGTTAAAAATATTTTAATGATGGATTTGTTTCTTGCAACCATGCAGTTTTTGGCTTCTCAAGATGTTAATTACTGGACTGGAGTGGTGTGGATTACTTGTGGATTATTGTGATGTTTTTATCAGCTGTTTGGTCTCTCATTCTGACGGCACCCATTCACTGCAGAGCATCCATTGGCGAGCAAGTAGTTAACTAATGTTAACGAATGGAACCTTATAGTAAGGTGTTACCAACAATTGTAATAACCCATGATATTTCTTTTTGATATGTCAAAATATATAATGTTATGAGACTGAAGATGAGTGCAAAATATCTAACAGCCTTAACTAACAAATGTCACTGGATCCACTAGATTATTTAGTCAGTATTCTTACATTTGTGCCAAGCATAATATTCCTATAATAAACTGATCACTATGACTATTCTCCATATTATGGGAAAACTATTGAGAACTGTTGAGCTTGATGAAAGTGCAACCATAGTGAAAGACTGTAAGAAAAGCTTACTCCTGCTGGAGCCATGAGGTTAAAAAAATGTCTTTCTCTTTACATATTATGTCAGAAAGATTATTTTTAACAGGGGAAATGTCACAGCATATCAGGATGGCAGTGAAAGCATAATATTTAATTATTTCAATATTATATAACCCATTAAAATATGTATTCCAGTGGAAAAAATAATAATTATGAACTTACAAAATCTGAATTATAGTTGTGTTTTGTCATTCTACAGGATTTTGTGGTGACAGCTATTTTTACCTTTATGTGGTTGGTGAGTTCATCGGCGTGGGCCAAAGGTCTCTCGGATGTGAAGAGGGCCACTGACCCTGATGAGGTCATTAACCTCATCCCTGCGTGTGACCGCGAGGAAAACCGCTGCAAAGAAATCTATGAGCCCGTGATGTCCGGCCTAAACACTTCTGTGGTGGGTACAGAGAGTTTAACACTGTCATTATGCACAAATATTAAATGTGTTCCTAGAATTTGACGATGACACATGTGGGCAGTTGAGACAGGTTCAGCATTATGCAAATGAGGAATGACAAGCTGATGTGACTCCTGGATGATATCATGCACTGATAATTATGCTGCATTATGCACTGCTGTATACAAACCCAGCCAGAATGTTACTGAACTTCAGCATTGAAATGTGGTTGAAATAATGAAAGCTGGGTTTTGTTTCCAGTTAACAACATTTCATGCTAAATAATTCATCCATGTTAGAAATACTTTGAAACAACCTTTGTTCATTCAGTTTGCTAAATTTAACAGTGATCGGTATTGTTATTGTTAATGAAAACTAAAACCATTTAAAATTGTTAACGTTTATTGAAATAAAGCGGAAATATATTTGAAATATTAAAATGAAAAACTTTTGAAAACTAAAAAAATTCAAAGTTAAAACTAAACTAATAAAAAATATAAATTAAAGCTAAATTATATATTTAAAAATAACTCATATAAAATGACAAAAGCACATAACAAATTACTAAAATTTAAACTAAAATCACATTTTAAACTGAAAATATAGAAATGATAAAAAATATTATTAATAACTACTATAATAGTATATACAGCGGGTAAAATAAGTATTGAACACGTCACCATTTTTCTCAGTAAATATATTTCTAAAGATGCTGTTGACTTGAAATTTTCACCAGATGTCGGTAACAATACAAGTAATCCATACATACAAAGAAAACAAAACAAATAAGCTCAGAAATTAAGTTCTGTGTAATAAAGTTGAATGACACAGAGAAAAAGTATTGAAAACATGAAGAAAGTGAGGTGCAAAAGGGCATGAAAAGCCAAGACACCAGCTGAAATCTATCAGTAATTAGAAAGCAATCCTGCAACTAGTCAGTGGAAATTAATATTAGCTGCTTCAGTCCCAAAACCTACAGTACCAGGATGATGAAGATGAAACAAGGGTGGACATTTCGTTACTTGGGTTGTTACCGACATCTGGTGAAAGTTTCATGTCAACAGCATCTTTAGAAATATATTTACTGAGAAAAATGGTGACGTGTTCAATACTTATTTTACCCGCTGTATATAATACACCTTTGATTCAACTTTGATTCATGATGTTGATTCATCTGTAAATAAACTTTTACATTCAAGATAGGAAAGTTTTTCCCTCCACAATGTTCATTTTTAATGGCAAGAAAACAAATTTGTTGTCAAAATAGAACTAAGAATGATGTTGTAACATCCAGTGTGAACCGCACATGTTTAGTCTAGTGAAACGGTCAGTAGCTTCATCAGGTGAAGCAGGGTGAAGATGTATTTGGGTAGACAAATGAATGCATATGTGCAAGTAAGCATTTGGCTGATATGTCTGATTCCCGCAGGCGTTTGGCTTCTGTAATGTGGTGCTGTGGGCAGGGAACCTGTGGTTCGTCTTCAAGGAAACCGGTTGGCTTGCATCCTTTGCTGGCACTTACATGCCGTCAGGAGAGAAGCAGCCAGCACCAGACTCCATCGGCCAGGGTGGGCATTACAGTCACAGTACAAGATTTTAATGTCTGGATTAAAGGGTTCGTTCACCCAAAAATGAAAATTCTGTCATTAATTGAACTATCACTTTAAGCTTAAATACGGGGCCATTAAGATATTTCTGTGGTGTTATATTTATGATAGTCACAACTTAACACTATATTCTCCTTTAAATGTATTTTTCTAGGCTATGGGCAAGAAGGTTATGGCCAGGAACCTTACGCCAGCTCTCAGGGCGGGTACCAGCCCGACTACGGCCAGCAGGGCGGTGGATATGAAGGCGGAGGCTATAATCAGTATGGTCAGGGTGAGCCCACCTCCTTCTCCAATGAGATGTGAGCTCCAGCTCTGCACTGGTGAGTGAACAAGCCCTGAACCTGAACATGACACACATAACATTCTGTGGTCCAAACATCTGTGCCCACTACTGAAAATCCATGCAAGATTATTTTTAGACTATAATACCTTTTTTTTTCTAACTTGTATATCTTTTGTAACATTATAAAAGTCTTTACTGCTACTTTTTGATCCGTTTAATGCATCTTACTGCCTTTAAAACATTTTACTGACCACAAGCATTTGAATGACAGTGTATATATTTGTGATTTGTGTCCATTTACAATGTTAGGTTAGGTTTCTTGCACCAAAAAGCCCTTCATAATTTTGTTTCGACCAAAACTTTGTTATTGTTGTTGTTTTGCTGTTGCAAATCTCCAGCATGCTGAAACTATATTGTGCACAGTACACATGCTGCATGCTGCAAAAATATACTGTTGTTTGAACTTTTTTATGCATTTTCATGAATGAAAATTGTAAACATTTAAACATCTGTCTATTTTACAGATCACAGCACAGCATGGGTCATGTGATCAGCATGCATGGAAACTACTAGCTACTGTATGTTTCCTCTCTCTTCAGTCTTTCTGTATGAGCAAATGGGTTTAAAGGGAAGGGGTGGGTGAGGGCTAAAGCACATTGAAGAAATCTTAGCAGGGTTGTTACTAAATTATAGCTAAAGGAAAATGCTTTGGACCCAGGAGGAGGTGAGACCCTCGTTTCAACATGAAGTCTATCACATCAAATCCAGCGGGAGATTATCCATCCTATTATGATAAGCAAAAACTTGAATATGCTACCAAAAAAAAAATGAATGAAACCTATGTTACATACGGGGAGCCGTTTGAATGAATTATATATGAATTATAGTCATATACTGAATGTGTTTGTCTGTGTGGTGTAAATATGAATTATATTTAAATAGATATACCGTATTGTGAATTTAACTGTTGCTTTTTTTGATTTCACTTGTAGTCTCCACATTTGTTTTGTTTTTATTTATTGTAGTGGTGTTGTTTCTACACCACCTTCATCATTCAACCCACAGAACTGACCTTAAACCTCTTACTGTGTGTTTTTCTTTTTTATTTGTGTGAAACTTTCTTTTAAGGTTCGTGAGAACACAAAGATTAAATAGTGTAACAGTAATGTGTCAATCTCTACTAAAAGTGTTAACAAAAGTCAGTAGTTTTAGATAAAACTGGTATAGGGAGAGAAACTGAGGAACACTGGAAAAACTAAAGAACAAAGCGAAACAGGAAGTACAGGTGAACAAGCACAAGATTTATTTCCTTTTACGCGTTGGTTAAATGTCCAAACCTTTCTGCTCTAAAGCACATATGTGTTATTGATGCTATAAAGTTCATTTCCATGTGTTTTTGGCTTTTTGTTCAGACTGAAATGTGTGTTTCGATGCCGTCTCTGTCTGTACATGAAGGTCCATGTAGCTTTCTTTCTCTCCCTCGTTGTATGATCTGATATTGCAAAATAAAATCATGTTAGAGAATGACGAGTGATGACATTAATGCTCCAGTGTGCTTGTTTTTCATTGAACACGTGGTTTTCAGAAATTCTAATATCCAACCATTTTAAAAAGCATTTACATGTGGATCGATTGTAATTTCACTATGGGATTAGAGGGGAGTTACAGGAATAATGGGAAGGTTTGGTTAAAGGGGTCCTATTATGCTCTTTTACAAAGTCTTGATTTTGTTTTGGGGGTGTACTAGAACAGGCTCTCATACTAGGTTGTTCGAAAAACACATTATTTTTCACATATTTTACATTATTACAAGACCTCTCTCCCCAGTCTGGCATGAACGACTTTGAGCTTTGTAACTTTGCAGATCTTTTTTATGCTCAAACAGCAACATTACGACCAACTAAAGTTGAAAAAGTGAAAAAGCATAATAGGACCCCTTTAAAATGACAGACAGATAGACAGACATGCCTTTTAAGACCAGAAGAGGGAGACATTTAGTAAATTATGTGACTGTTAGAACTAAATATGCCAAATAAAATACATAAATACAAATGAAAAGATTATTCTAAGATATTAGAAATTAAATCTACATTTACATATTTACAATCAAGAAACTAAAGAAAAAGAAAAAGTAAATAAATCTTGTTTATTAATGCAGTTATTGAGCACCTTGATTGTTTTTCTTGTAAAGTACTCCCCTTTAGAAATTTTGGGTCAGTTATTTTAATTAATCAATTTATTTATTTTTAAAGAAATTAATGCTTTTATTTAGCAAGAACAAATTCAACTGGGCAAACGTGACAGTAAAGAACATTTATCACAATTTTCACATTAATATTAAGCTGCAAAACTGTTTTCAGCATTGATGATAAATGTTTATTGAGCAGCAAATCAGCATATTAGAATGACTTCTGAAGGATCATGTTAATGATGCTGAAAAATCAGCTTTGATCACAAGACAAATTTAAATTTTAAAATATATTATAGAAAACATTCATTTGAAATTGTAATCATATTTCACAATATTACTGTTTTTAAAATATTTTTTAATTAAAAAAAAAAAAAATCAGCCTTGGTATTAGTAAAAAAAAAATTAACATGAAAAAAAAAAATACTGGCCCCAAACTTTTGAATGGTAGTTTAACTGTTCTACTTGAAATTCACTGTAAATCTGAATTATTATTTCTTTTAGATTAGTGTATTAATTAGCATCTTTCTAATAATAGCTTACATTAATGTTACAAGTGCTACAGCATAAATATCACAATTATTATTAATAGAGTTATGGAACAATAATTGATGGTTTCTTCTCATCTTTGCGAGACAAGTGTGTTTTATTGGTGTTCTGAAACAGCTGCTGTAAGTCAGAAAAGTGCGGTTTCCTTTAGTTGTGTCCAACCTGCTTGTGGCAGCACATTTGTTATGATCACTCACTGTTGCCAAAACAAGGCCCTCTGTGTGTGTGTACTGATAAAAAGGATTTTGTGGTGAAGTAAATACTACATAAAAACAAATGTAATTTCTACATTAAATAATTTAGTTCAGGCAAGAATTAAAAAAAGAAAGTAAATTCTATATTGCTACTCAATTTAAGCTTGTAGAAATTAAAGTTTGAAATTATAAGCATATTTTACTTGGTATTGTTTGTTATGTTTACAAGGATTATTTAAGTAAATCGTCTCAGGTTACTTATGTAACCATGGTTCCCTGAGTAGGGAACGAGACACTGCGTCCTCTAGGGGTCAAAGTTATGATACTGTTTTTCCCATCATGCACTGGGGGCATGAATAATTAAAAAGGTTAAAATGTTCACTGTTTTCGAGTTGTATTTATACTGTTTTATGGTTGATTTTGTAGTTAGGTTTAGTAACTTACTGTTTTGTGATATCTGGAGTTAATTTTCTACTCAAAATGACCCATTTATACTCAAACACTATCCACTGATTGTTACTGTCATTGTGTATGGTGTACCAAGTATTGAGGTCTCTGTGTTCATTTGTGTAATATTTAATTTGAGTGGACATATTAAACTTGCTTACTAATATGTTTGCATGTGATCCACATGCTTTAATAGCATGGTTGTGTCCCAGGTGTTTGTTTGAGTAAATATTATAAACTGAAACTGAGGGGAAAGTACTTGAGTATTGCATCTTTAACAAAATAATTATGTAGAAATTACTCATCAAACTCTAACTGGCCATGTTAAATTTACTTATTTCCTTTGCTAATTTTACTTAACTTAGTTAAGTAGATTTTACTTAATTCAATACTTAAATTTTACTTAAAATGTATGTGTGCAAAAACTTGCAAAATAAAATTAAGTAACTCTACTTACTGTTTTTTTCAATGATGGTATATATGTTTTATGAGGACACAAATGTCAGTAAGTAAGATTGTTCATTTTGACCTTTTTTTGACCCAGGTTCTCTGTCTTGCATGCTGAAGTTTTACATATTGATAAGACACCTTGAGCAATATATGTATGTTATATTTGACATTATAAGCATTATAGCACTAAATTTATAGTAATTATTTAAGAAGCAGTCGAGCAACAGAAGAGGACAGCAGCTTGTTATGTGTACTGTGCTGTAGACTGTGCGGAGACTTGTCACAACACTTGTATAATGTTGCTCTCTTGTTGGTTTGATTGCTTCTATTCTCCTAATTTGTAAGTCGCTTTGGATAAAAGCGTCTGCTAAATGATTTAAATGTAAATGTAAAATGTGTATAATGGCATGGGTACTACGACGTAAACATGGTTTATGAGGACACTTCCTGTGTCCCCGTAAAACAAAAGGCTTAAAAAACATACAAAACAGTGTTTTATGAAATTCAAAAATTGCCAGTAGTTTTCTGTAAGGGGTAGGTTTAGGTGTAGGGTTGGTGTGGGTGATAGAAAATACAGTACAGTATAAAAACCATACCGCCAATGGAGAGTCCCCGTAAACCACAATTATATGTGTGTGCGTGTGTGTGTGTGTGTGCGTCTGCCCTTAGTCAAACCCAACCCAGAGTAGCCTACTTATGGCACAGAGTATTTCCACAATGTCACTTTAAATCAAATTACCTATAAACCATAGTTTCCATGAAATCTCTCTCTCTCTCTCTCTGTCAGTGTAGTTACACTCCCTGAAAATCAGGAGAAAGAAACACATTCCAGATGGGAAGCATTTACAATATGTTTCCCCATTCAAAACCATTTATCACAACTCCTCACAGCTCCTTCTGGTCTTATTTTAAAACTGTAAATAGGAAAGAAATCATAGAAGGAAAAAGGGGGGAAATGACAGAATTCACAGAAATAACTACAGTCCCCAAAAACACATTGCGGCAGTAACATGGTGCAGTGATTGTATCAAATGGTAATACTATGGTACTGTGGTATGGTCATAGTACTGAATGATTGGCATATGGGTGAATCTCATAAAACCTAGTACAAATCACATTTTTTTTTGGAATGTTACTATGTATGTATGTATGCAGGCTATGTATGTATGTATGTATGTATTGTGACGTTTTGCACTTTCCCAGGAGAAACAGACAGGAGTCGAGAATGTATTCATTCGGTGATTTATTTTTTTGCATTTTTTGTTTTGTTTTTCTGTTGTAGCTAAAATAAATGTATCCCTAATAATTATCAGTACTGTAATAGGAAAAAAAAACACACATTACCATTTGTTATGATGCAAATTTATTGTTAATAATAATAATAATAATGTTGATTTTATCTATTTGAAAAAAAAAACTGTTTACATGATTTTTAATGTCATTTTTATTTTAAAACAGCAAAAATACATATCGCAATGATGACACACACAACTCAAAAGCTTAAAAGAAAGTAAAACAATGACGATAATGAGACATTTCATGGAAGTAAGGGTTTTATTTATTTATTTGCATACGTTTTGTATTTTTAAGGCAGATTTAAACTGGGGCAGCTGTGGTTTCCTTTTTGAAAACGTGTTATGAATGTCTTCCAAAGACAGCTCAGAGCTGGTAGTCTGCTGTGCTCTGCTGATTGAACATTTCCACGATGATTATTCGGGCTGCGTTTCAAAACCGAGCGCGCTGCCTACTTAGCATTTGCAGGCATTTCAGCTGCTGAGACGAAACGCTTTCAAACTCTGTCGTCTAGGTAGGAAGCTCAGTGAACATGAAAACAGAGCAGGGCTGTTGGTTTCGCTCTCTCTCCGTGAATTACCCTCGAGACACTACAACGCCTTAGCCAACGCCCCGCACACTCACGCTTTCCAGTCCGCAACTGCTGCTCTGACCATAGGCTGTGGCTCTGACACTCAGAAGTTCACGAAGAAGTTGCAAGCTGCGTCAGATATAAACGGAGCCTTTTAACAGACCGTGTTTGTGAACGTTTGCTGATACGGACGCTAGGCTTCATAAGAAAGCGTTATTTCATAGGAAAACATCTGCAGAATGGCAGAAACTGAGGGAAGTCCGTTTGGAGGCTGTTTGGAGAAACTGATGAGCTATGTGCGAACTCGGAAAGGAACCATCCTGGCCGCTGAAATAGTAAGTTATTAACATGAGTGTGACTTTAACTTTACATTTCATTTCATAATATGCTTGCAAAACGCTTAGAGATATAACGCTAGTTCTTAATTTGGCTTCATCGCAAGTATGATAAATAAAATACTGGTGTGGATTAAAATGAACCGTTGTCATGGAGACGCTCCCACTGAATAAAACTAATCCACCTGTTGATTCACACACTTGAGAAAGTGAAGAAGTTCATTGCGTCTTTATTTCATACCACAACATATATGGTAAACATTTAGTCTAATCGTGTGTGAAATGTCTAAAAGTGTCTGTCAGAGTCTATAAACCACATACTTTTCACTTTAAGAGCTAAAAATAGATTTAAAGAAAGTGCCAGAATTGTCATTCAAGCAACTGTTTCAAAATATCAACTTAGCTTGACTAAGATAAAGTATGGTTGCAAATACAATTATAAAACTGCATCACACATTCAGTTATGTCTTGTTTTAAGCGTATCGCAGTATGGCTAGTAACAGAAGTGGGTGGAAAGAGTATTAATAGTGCTGCTGAATGAAATAGCTCCCATCGCAGAGGCATCTGAAACTTCACACTGACACACTAGTGTGTGCTTTTGGGAGGAGGTGGCATGGCATGCAGACCATGTGCTTGATGGTGTGTGTGAGGTCAGAGTTCATGAGGCTGGATCACCCATCTGCTGGATCCATAGAGACCAGGCTGCTGTTCTCTCTTATCTGTCTCTCAGTTGTGGTTGATATATCTTTAAAGGGGTCATATGATGTTATTAAAAAGAACATTATTTGGTGTATTTGGTGTAATGAAATGTGTTTATGCGGTTTAAGGTTAAAAACACACATTATTTTCCACATACTGTACATTATTGTTTCTCCTCTATGCCCCGCCTTCTGAAATGCCTCGATTTTTACAAAGCTCATCGTTCTGAAAAGCGAGGTGTGCTCTGATTGGCCAGCTATCCAGTGCGTTATGATTGGCCGAATACCTCAAGCGTGTGACGGAAATGTTAC